AAAAAAAAAAAAAAAAAAAAAAAAGTTTTTAAAATAAGAACCCGAGTGATTCTACAGAATCAGTATCAAATAAATTGGAAGAAGCTAGGCAAGGTAGTGCATACCTATAATCCCCACACTCCTAGAAACTAAGGCAGGAGGATCCAAAGTTCAAACCCAGCTTGGCCAACATAGTGACTGAGACCCTCTTGCAAAAGGGGAGGGGGCTGGGAATGTATCAGGGCAAAGGCTCACACCATCAGAGTAACTCAGGTGGGAGTGGGTGGAGGGGAAGCAATATAGATTTGACCCTATGTGGACAATTGTTGGCACTGGCTGGTGGCCACGTGGGAGCTTGTCAGGCTGTTATTAGTTTTCCATAATTAAAAATGTAAAGGTACAAGATCCCAATGATGAATGTAACTGTAGTGTATACCTAAAATGTAGATAAATGGGAAAAATTATAGTGCTAAAGGATTGTTTTTCCCGAGGTATCTGCAGTGTACTGAATGAAACAAGCTGTCTCTAAAGTCAAAAGGTTATGAGTGTCACTAACAGTCACCTAAAAAGTCATGATAAAGCCCTTGCCCCCTTCCCAAGTTCTGGAAAGGTAGGTATCTAAAGACTGGATAATAAATAAATCCTTTTCCAAACCAGGTAATTTTCGTTTGTTTTTTTTTTTTTTGCAGCACTGTCACTAATGCTCATTTCAGCTTTCAGAAACAAACCTACCACAGCTGCAGCTGTTTCATGATGAGAAACCGAGGCTCAGGACCAGCCAGGAAAGCCACCATCTTGGGTCACTTCTCAGGATGAAAGGAGTGTCCCCTGTAGCCACTCACAAACTTCCGCTTCCAACTCGTCATGAAGTCTAATTTTCTAACACAGTTTGGACAGAATGCTTATGCACATCTATTGTTTTCCAGTGGATAAAGGCTTATCTCAGTGACTGTGACCACATTGGCCACCATGCACAGGCAGGGAGCTATATCTCTTTATGTCCTCTGTGGCCTGGTGCTTATGTCCTTAGGTCCACAGTCCCCTCTGCCGTCTGCTATGGCTGTGTCCCTGGGATCTGCTTTGCATCTTGCTGACCATGGGGTTGATCTCCTCAGACCCCCACATCCTCTGAGCAGCCTACGGGTTATCTGCACATCTGATTCCCCCCACATCTCCTTCCAGCCCTGTGCCCTGGACCCTGGACAGTGGTGGGACTGAGGATGATTGGCCATCTTCCATCAGTTTCTGAATCTGTGGATGGAATTGGTGTCACTGGAATCCACTCAGACCACTACTTTACCACAGAGGACATCAGAGGACTTGTCAGAAAGTCCTTCCTCCTGTATTTTCAGGACAAGGCTGCCTGCTGATGAGGCTCTCTCCCTCTCTGCCTGTGCCTTCTTTGGTAACTCCCACCTCACAAAAGAGCCCTTGAGAGGCGGCAGGGATGGAGCCACGCTCAGTACAGCATGGAGTTCTGCCGCCATTCTGAACTTTCAGCCCTCAATCAGAATCAAGCAGCATCGGTAGGCTTCTCCCTTTTTACATCGAGGCTGCTCTAATGGTGATGAATTAGAAAAGGCAAAACTGGCAAATTAAGTCACTGAAGAGCCAGGCAGATTGCTGCTAGTTCATGGGCAGCCTGGGCTACATCACGTGTCCAAGTTCAGCTTGAACGACATAGGGAGACCCTGTCTCAAAAAACCCAAAATAAATAAAAATAAAGGTCACTTTATTTTCTGTGATTTATATTTTCTGCAAAATATTGTGTGATTTGATGGCAGATGTGGTCGTTCATTCCTTTAGAAGCCTTTAGGGATTGTTTTCTGCTCTGGTTTTTAATAATTAAATCTCAATCTGATCAACACTGTTTAGTGGGAATTGCTAACAATGAAGCTGAAAAATAAACACAAACAGGAACAAATGACCTTTTATTTCATTCAGAGATACAAAGGCAATTGTGTGTATGAACAACCTGAGGGGTAGGAGAATCCTTGGGAGTAAGTAAGTTCATGGTAAATGTCAGGATGGCTGGTCACAGAGAAGGTCAGAGCAGGAGAAGACGAGACAGGACAGGACAGCTGACAAATACTAACAGCTCAACAGGCTTCAGTGCCTGTTGGGGTTGTCATCAAAATTCTTAACATTTTTTTGAGGCTATTTTGCCTTAGAAATTGTGTTCAGGGCTGTATAATCCTGACAAGTAATTGAAACATCATATTTTATTAAAGGAGTTGTAAACTTTGGTCATTACAAACTTGGAGGTGGCGCTGGGAACAAGCATTTGGGATGGGTGTCCTCTTTTGAGGAAAAGGGTTTATATATTTTTGTTAGTCCTGGTTTTTGAGTTGATGCTGGCTATGATAACATCTTTTAATCTGGGGGAAATGTTTACTAAAAAAATAGTTTTCCAAAACACAACAAAACCAATGTCAAGGTAGTGACACAGACTCCTTCCTTTGGGCTGCACCCACACCAGGATACGCAGATGAAAACTACTTCTCCAGGACTTGCCTTTGTTAACAGGCATGCACCACATGGTTTATTATTAAAACAGTTTATTGGCCTTAAATATATATCAACACAATTTTTAATTCTAGATTTTAAAATTTTATGATAAAATACTGAACCAAAACATCAAAGAAAATGGAGGTCCAGTGGCATGATTTCAATCTATTTTCCTGTATAAACATTTTTTAAAAAAAGTTTATTACTTTATCCAAAAACAAAAGCTTTCTAAATTCAACATTTAGAACTAAACTGTCTTTGATGAAGCCTAGAAAATTTGTGTTCATAAAATAAAGGCACAAATATGAGCAGCAAGAAAAAAGAAACAGGAAGAAATTTTGATTTTAATGTCAAGTATAACATTGGTTGGCTGTTTTTGTTTTAGCTATTTAAGGCAGGATTCTCTCTGCAACTCTGTAGATAGATCCTAGTGTTCCAGCAATAAGAAAGTTTTAAGAGTTCAAATATACAGATAAACCAATTTTTAAAAACTTTTTTCTTAGAATATTCTAAAGGCATTTGAAGCATTACATAAATCTTTAAAATTTGTATCACATTTTAAGAAATAAATCTATGCTTTTATAAGGAAATCTTAAGATACAGAACAGACTGTAGAACCATTATATTCTACCCTAATGCCCAATACTTAACTGCAGGGATGGGTGGGCAGTGTCCTTCAATGGAGTTAATCTCTAGAAACAGGCGGGCACCCAGCCCTGTGCCAATCCAGCAAACTAGATCAACAAGACACTTGGGCCGTTCTTGTGCACTAACAGCATTGCCCAAATCTGATGGTGACATTCTAAAAATGGTATCTTTTTTCCCCCCTCTAAAACTGCTTCATTACAATAGAGAAATACAGTGACTGACATTAGCTCCTTCCCACAAAGGAAAACACAACAGTGAGAATCAACCATCTGCTACATACATCTTACTGATGGGACAGAAATACAAAGGAGCTTCACTTCCAAAGGACAACTGAGTAACCGCTGCTAACCTGACGTTATTGTTGCTGCTAAGAGCACCCACTTCAAAGTGACGAAATTTGAATTCCATTGTCCTTGTTGCTGAGTAAAACAAACACCAAAGCATACAAGCCAGCAAAGCTGCTTCAAAGGCTGCAATCACAAGAGATTTTGGTGGGGTTTCCACTTTTTCCTAAGTATGAGAAAAATGAAGGCACCAGAAGGTCGACTAAGCCTAAAACACAATTTCACGGTGAAAAGAGTTTGACAAATGTCTACCAGAGACGGGAATTAAAATGAGGCGCTGGGAGGCATCAGACTGAGTGAGGCATTGTCATGCGCTGGTGCTAGCTTCCAGTAAGCAAAAAAGAGATCCCAGAAGGGGATCCAAGGGGTTCTTCCCTCTGTCCTTCTAGGCTGGCAGCAAATGATTAATTACTTCCCATAGAACTTTTTGTTGAGCAGGAAGATCAGGAGGTTGACATTTACTTTCGCTCTATCAAATAACTTCATGACTGCAACACCTTCATACTGTAGTTGCAGCAGATCCTGTTGAAAAAAGAAAAAAAAGACAAGTCTATGGAACAGGAGAAAAAAGGACAGTGCAGGAAGGACTGAGGCTTGCCTTGTGTGACCAGTGTCAAGTGGGCAAGACCAAAGGTGCCAGGCACAGACCTGCCTTATTCAAGAGCCCTGGAGCAAAGTGGAGAGGACATATGGCCACTGATGGGCATCTGGGTAAGGCACTGGGGAGCCACTCTGTGTTTAAGGTACACCAAACACAGCTGGGTGTGGTGGCGCACACCTGTAATCCCAGCACTCGGGAGGCTGAGGCAGGAGGATCGCTGTGAGTTCGAGACCAGCCTGGGCTACATAGTGAGTTCCAGGTCAGTCTCAACTATACAGTGAGACCCTGTCTCAAAAAACCAAAACAACCCCCCCCCGAAAAAAGAAGATACACCAAACATGGAAAGAAAAAGAAGCATGTTATCACACATGGTTAGTGTGTAAACCTTTTAATTTCAGAGGGCTGGAGGTGTAGCTCAGTGCTATAGCACTTGCCTAGCATGCATTCAGGCCCTGGGCTCCATTCCCAGTACCATGAAAAAGAATTTTTTTAAATTTCAGAAGTCAGCAACAGTTCACCAGTTTTTTGTTTTTGTTTTTTGGTACCGGGGATTGAACCTGCGTTCTTGCACTTGCGAGGCAGGCAGCGGAACCACTGAGCTAAACCCCTGGCCCCATCACTGGTTTTAATAAATCTAGAAAAAGTAGAATCATTTCACTTCTTTTAAAAAATAATTTTAAACTTTAAGACAGGGTCTCACAAAGTTGGTCATGTTATCCTCAAATCTGTGATCCTCCTGCCTCAGCATCCTGAGTAGCTAAAATTACAGGCTTACTTCAATCCATGATGAAATGTACTAATCACTGAAAAATGATGCTGGGCATGGTGGTGCATGCCTATAATCCCAGGATTCTCAAAGTTGAGGCAAGAGGATTACTGAGATCAAGGCTAGCCTGGAATACATAGTGAGACCCTATCTCAACCAAAACCAGAAAGAGACAAGGCTAGCAATGTTTCAAAAACACCTATTTGAAATGTTTTTTGGTGGTACTCAAAAATGAACCCAGGGCCACCTGCATGCTAACCCTGCACTCTACCACTGTGATACATCCTGTTTCTCTCCTAGATTCTTTCACATGAGCAAGCTTTTCTATATTCAAAGCAAGGAAAGAAGAGGGCTAAATGTTTATAGGTACCTACCCCAAGCTCAGCCCTGCGTGTACATATTGGTAGGGTCTTTTTACGTTCTCACAGCGATCCTATGAAGCATAATCATTCCAACCCTAAGAGAAGCTCCTCTCCTGAGGTTCAGAGACGTAAACAACAAGCCCAGCAGAACAGAACTGGACTCATGAGTGTGACCCCAAGGCTGCCACCTCCCATCGCCCTCACTGTGTACCCTGACCCCTTCAGGAGTGCTAAGGTGAAAGCAAGAGCCAAAGAGGCTGCAGGGATCCCAAAGGCGAGTCAATTATCTGGAAAACCCAGTGGCTTGAGGAGAGTGGGGATGGTGTGGTGTCCCTGTGCCCAACCTGTCATCTTGTATCTGGCAGTCATGCCATGCAGGACAAAGCTGGGCACAAGGGAGAAGCTGCCTTAGGCCGGCCGGCCCCTATGTGCCTGGAGAAATGGGAGAGCAAGTCTTTTTTGGAAGTGCTTCAGTCAGTCACATGCATCACAGTCATCTCACACTGGCAGCTAGGGTGCTTTGAGAGTGTACTGGCATCGAAGAAGGAAAAGTCTAAGACAAACTGCCTCTGCTTAAAAAGTTCACACTTTTGGGCAGAGGGAAATGAGTTAAGGTGCTCTGTAAACAGAGGATGTCTCAGGGCTGCTGTGGGACAGGGGAGACCAGTAACTGTGGCTTGGCAGGGGAGGCTTCAGGGTGGGAATACACAGGCACCAATGGATTTACTATCCAACAGGGAACTAAGTGGGGAAGGGAGGAAGGAAACCCAAGGAATAGCATCATGCACAAAAGCCAAATGCAGCCACGTGTGGTGGCACATGCCCATAATCCTGGCACTCTGAGAGGCTGAGGCAGGAGGATCACAAATTTGAGCTCTGTCTGGTCTATCCAGCAAATTCGCCAGACACTGTCTCAAAACAAAAAATACAAAAGGGCTGGGGATATGAACCCAGTGCAATCTTTAGTACAGAAGGCGGGGGTGAAGAAAAGAAAAAAAGCCTAGATGCACTGTTATGGCTTAGATCTAGATGTTCCAAGCCTCATCTGTTCATAGGTGGGGATTTGGTGGGGAGTGACCAGATCATAAGTGCATGACAGTCATCGCTGAATTGGCCTACTGATGGGTTTAGAGCTGGGTGTGAGGCTGGCAGGTAAAGTCTGGTGGGAAGAAGCGGTCACTGGGGGCGTGGCCTGGAAGGGTCATCTCCCTCCTCCGCCCTTGATCCTTTTCTCTTCTTCCCGCTGACAAGCCATGAA